AGTGTTGATGGCATCGATGCTCGGTGACGACGAGTCGTGGAAGGCGATGCTCGACTTCTGCGAGTGCACCATCTCGCAGAAGGAGGCGGCGGGGCGCGTGAGAGACGCACAGGCCCGCCGCCGTCGGGCGGGGGCCAGGGAGGCGGATATCGCCCAAGCCCTGGCCCTAAGTGTTTCGGGTCCCCTCACATGTCGGCCTGGGGACCGGCGAAGGGGGCCTAAGAAGACGACGTGCAAGCTGCTCTGCACGCGTTTTATGCATGAGCATCCGGGTGATGGAAGGCCGGCTATCCTCAACCCACGCTGGTTCTGACCCAGCGGGGTATTCCGTAGGATAGACCATTCTAACCGGCGCCATCTAGGCGGGCTTCGGATAGCCTGCCGACCGAGAGGGCTGGTGGTCGTGGCGCCGACGACCGCCAGTCCGGCGTCCCGAGGGGGAGGGTGATGGGAGAGATGTGCTCCGCACTAAACGCTTCACTTTCCCCCCTTTGCCTTTTCATGAGTTTTGTCTCATGCGAGGTTTGGACGTTGGTTGTTGAGAGACAGGAGGTTTTAGTCGGTTCGACTCCGACATGCCCCGCCCTCCATCCCCAGTGAAGGGCGGAAGTCCGGCGATTTCCTCCTGACAAAAAAAAAAAAAAAAAGTATCATGTACTCAACAAATGTTCACGATTGACTTCCACGGTGAAGGAATAACATCGTGTAATAAAAATCAAACCCGCAAAATTATAATTTGCGTAAGTTTGAGTTTGGTAGGACCTCTTGTGAGTCCTGCGCGCAGGTAGGTTACACACCACCCTCGCCTATTTCTGCCCGCTTCGAAGCAGTATGCGTTGTCGTTTGAAGGGGCGGGGCGAAACAGTTGTATTGTCAAAAGCTGAGACGCTTACAACTCATATCTCAAAGTGGGTGGCAAAAAAAAAAAGTATCATGTACTCAACAAATGTTCACGATTGACTTCCACGGTGAAGGAATAACATCGTGTAATAAAAATCAAACCCGCAAAATTATAATTTGCGTAATTACTGGTGGTAGGACCTCTTGTGACTCCGCGCAGGTAGGTAACACCACCTCGCCTATTTCTGCCGTGAAGCAGTAATGCGTTTCGGTTTGAAGGGCGGGGCAACAGTTGTATTGTAAAAGCTGAGACCTTACAACTCATATCTCAAAGTGGGTGGCGGCATTTACGTTGTGGATGTCTATGGGCTCTGGTAACCATTTAACACCAGGTGAGCTGTGAGCTCGTCTACGCATCTATGCAATAAAAAAAAATTACGAAAATTACTTTTTAGTACTCTTGATAATACAAAATCACTCATTAATTAAATCAATTGATATCTGTGCAACAGATGTGTAATGATAATGGTTTTTGTAATGAACTTGACTTAATCTTGAAATTTGTTACAGAGACAATCGGCCCTCCTTCAGAATACTTTGACATTAACATGTTAGTAATCATATGCAGTTCTATTCTGCTGATTATATGCTCAATAACATGCGTTTATATTCTGGTAAAGAGGCATAAGTAAGTATTTAAGGGTTTTTTCTCGTAAAATAACGAGTGCTTCTTTAAACGGTACTTGAAAAGCGTCCTTTGTGACTAGCAACGGTATGGCTGTATCACTGCCATTGCTGTTGTCCATATATGACTGAGAAAATTCACCATTAAGTGTGACGAATACTAATAATCTTTATAGGCAATAAAGCCCACTGAGTTTCTCGCCGGATCTTCTCATTGGGTCGCGTTTCCGATCCGGTGGTAGACTCTGCGAAGCACGGCTCTTTCTAGGACCAGTATTAGCAACACTCCGGTTTGAGCCCCGTGAGCCCACCTACACGTTAGGGTGAAGCTGAAATAGCCTTTCAAGGCTATCAGCGTAGGTAAAAAAATAAAAGGCAAAAAATGCTCAGTAGCTGGCAAGTAAAGGAGAGTCGTGCGCGAAAATTTCAGTCAATTTTACCAGAAAACAAGATGTTATTATCACTCATGTTTCCAATAATCGTCTCGAAATATTATATTGTTCAAAATAAAATGGATTCCCTTCACGACAGGCTTTTCTTCAAAGAATGTGTAGCGTGTACTTTAGGATAGGCACGGCTCTTTCAATTTTATATCAAGAGTTCGTTGTATGAGTGGATTCAAATCGGAGATTTTAGTAAATTTTATGTGTAAGTTCTTAATTCGGGTTATTACTCTGCGCTTATCCCTTTTTTTAGAGGGCAAAATTTTTTTTATGCTAAGACGGGTGGACGAGCTCACAGCCCGTCTGGTGTTAAGTGATTTCTGGAGCCCATAGACATCTACAACGTAAATGCGCCACCCACCTTGAGATATAAGTTCTAAGGTCTCAGTATAGTTACAACGGCTGCCCCACCCTTCAAACCGAAACGCATTACTGCTTCACGGCAGAAATAGGCAGGGTGGTACCTATCCGCGCGGACTCACAAGAGGTCCTACCACCAGTAACAAATTATTATTTGATTAGATTAGATAACATATTATTATAAGAAAGCTAAGCAGCTACTTCATACCAAATATTTACGTCTGATACAGCCCCTGTTGGCTACAGAAAACATAATGTGGGGTGCCCCTGGCTGGGTGGTGCGTTGACCTTCGAAGAGTGGCCGGCAAGAGGTGGATGAGGAGAGCCGAAGACCGAGCTCAGTGGTGTGGATTGGGAGAGGCATATGTCCAGCAGTGGACGACTGTGGGCTGATGATAATGACCTATTAAATTATCCTCGTCTCGCGTTCCTGGTGATCAATGGTCATGACAATTGTACCGAGGACTCTGGATCCGATTCCCGGCCACAGTTATCTTTGCGACATCTATTTGAGGTGTGGATGTATTTATTCTTGTTTTGGGCATGCCTTCGGAATGTGTACAGAATTAAGTCCAAGTTAGTGACTGTTGGGTAACTCTTGGGCAATGATAACTATCTCCTTTCAGTCATAACAATATGACAGAATATCGGAATTCCCTAACGGTTGAATCTAAGTCGGAGCGTAGTGATGTGCCAGCGAATACTCCTCAGAGCGTACCTTCGGATATCAACAACAGAGTGTACAGTACGCCGGTACATTTGACTGCCGATACTAAGCACGGTAAGGTGTTGTACTGTATATGCTTTTTATCATGTTGTTATTTGAAAGAAAAAAAAAACCGGAGGAAATCGTGTAAAAAAGGCGTTGTCTAAATATTTTGTTAGATGCGATATTGATGCTGATGCGAATGGTTGTGGACTTTATTTTGGTATTCCAAGGTTTTTTTGGTGTTTGGTGTTTGCTGGAGTCCAGAGATATAATCAATCAGTACTGCCACGCGCTTCGTACCACGCACATCGAAGTCTCAGATATTTTGAATAACGACTGCCCCGTTTACTGGTGGTAGGACCTCTTGTGAGTCCGCGCGAGCGGGTACCACCGCCCTGCCTATTTCTGCGGTGAAACAGTAATGCGTTTCGGTTTGAAGGGTGGGGCAGCTGTTGTCACTATACTTGAGACCTTTAGAACTTATATCTCAAGGTGTGTGGCGCATTTACGTTGTAGGTGTCTATGGGCTCCAGTAACCACTTAACACTAGGTGGGCAGTGAGCTCGTTCACACATCTAAGCAATAAAAAAAATCTTACGAACCGTATCCCCGACTGTGTCGCAGCAGAACTAGCCGGAATTGTGGTATCTACCCGTCCAACCTCATAATACACAAACAGCCAGCAATTAGGTAAACTTGGAAGTCGTTTGTCAGAAAATATCGGGGTTTTCAATCTCCATATAGTCACGAGCTTAACAAGAGCTGAAAGTCTGTGACCACAAGAATTCAAAGGGCTACCAGCCTTTTTCGTTGTAAGACTGCTGTGAGAAAATGTTTAATCATCTTAGTTTTTTTATTTATTTTTTTATACTAGTTTATACCATGTTTTAAGTCTGTACACACGTACCCTTCACGTAGCCTTCATTCCCGCAAAGAACCAAAGGGAAACGGGGGTGGCTGAAAATCAGCGCTGTTCGATTTTTCGATCTTGAACAGCATTAGCTGAGCCACCTCCTTTTGCCTTTTTCTCTGTTTTTTCTTTTCTTTTATTTTATTTAATTTGAAAGGCAATAAATGTTTTTTTTATTATTATAATTATTTATTTATATTTATTTAAAATCTAATTAATTACATAATATTTTTTAAAAAAGATATTAAAAATACAATTTTTAAAAAACACAATATAAAAATAGATTGCCGCTGATGGCGGTATCTACGACACAAGCCACCAGTGGTTAGGACTCCAGAGTGAGAAACCTCCTCACGATGCGTGCAGTATCTAGGATAACTGCTTTCTGTATTAGGCCGCTAACTCAGCTGGATAACGAAAGTTTCTTAAGATGTTGATCGAAACTTTTCGCCATCAAGCCGTGTACCGACACAACTATTGTTACAATGATGGTTGAATCAACATGCCACATGGTAGTCTCGTGGGCCAGGTCTAAATATTTTATTAATATGTCCTATTCTGGCTTCACGAGGTTCTCGTCATGAGGAATGGTGACATCAACCAATACTGCTCGACGCGCAGATCGATCTATTATCACAATATCAGGTTTATTATTATTATTATTAGTACCACTTGAAATTTATTTTCAGAACTATACGAGATAAGTCCTTACGCACAGTTTGCGTTGGGCTTCAGAACCTTTGGCCACGTGGAAAATCAAGAAGTACCGAGCAGAATTCATTTGCCGAGTAACAGCAAGTCAAGATATGATACTGGTAGGTGAATTCAGTTAAAACAGATAGCTACTTTGTAAGATCCCTAGCTAAAATTCATCAAATATCATCAATGTGATTGTTTGTATGTTGTGATGTTTGTACCTCAATCGACGACAATGGTTTATGTTTAGATATGACCTAGATTGATAGACTTAACGTCAATTGGGTCTTGAGCTTATTCGCCAGTCTATGCAATATTAATAACAAAAAAATATTTTTAACTCACACAAGTATAAAGTCAACTTATCAACACACAAATTATTCTATTTATTCAATAAAATATTCTGACCACAAATCCAGACTTAGTGTAGTTAGGCCACGAAAGAGGTCAGCTAGGTACCAACATAACTCATTATAGTCAAGAAGAGGGGGCTCGGTCTTCCTCTATTCCTTTTCTTTTCTGGAGGTGCCGGTGTCCAACTTAACCGAAAAAGGATTTTCAAAAACATTACTAAATTAATTTATCATACATTCCCTTTTCAGAAACCAGCTTCCAAATGAGATCGGAGTCAGAAGAGAGCGATTGCATCTCGAGGACGACAACTTTGAAGAGTGCTCCTAGAAGTATGTTATATTTCGTCTTGTCAATAAATAATTTTTTTAATCAATTAAATTAATATTCTTCTTTTTCTCCACCTTATCCCACTAGGTGGGGTCGGCACGGCTAATTTTTCTCTTCCATTCTCTTCTATCAGCTGTAATCTCAACGCACACTCCTCTCTCTCTCTCTCTCATATCGTCATTCGCACACTCCATCCATATCTTCTTCGGTCAACCTCTTCCTCCTCTACCTTGCACTACCATTTCCATACATCTCCTAGTCACATGAATCTTCTCTCTACGCATCACATGTCCATACCAACGCTAATCAATTAAATTAATATTCATTTAATATTTTTTAGAAAATATAATATTGAACATTTTTTAGAATATTAAGGCAAAAAGTCTATAAGAAACAAAAAAAGCATAATTTGTACATAAAAATAAAAGACAAAATATGTAGTAATAATCTATAAAATCAATCCGAAAAATTAACTAATTTCATATCGAGGGTTTTTTTTTGCCTTTGTAGGCAGACGACCATATGGCCCACCTGATGGTGAGTGGTTACCGTCGCCCATGGACTCCAGCAATGCCAGGGCTGGGCCAAGCCGCTGCCTACCGCTAAAAGGGGTGAATGGTTTGTAACTAATGCGTTTTATTTGGCATTAGCATCAACAGTTCGATGTTTTTAATTGAACTCCAATTACTCCATTCAAATACCTGAAGAAGATTTTTTCTTATGATATTTATTCCAAATTTTAAAGTTTAAATGGCTCTCGCTTTAACCATATAAGCCTTCACCCCTCGACTATGTTCTCTTCTTCAACCTGTTTCTACCTAATGTTGAATGTAGGTCCCTTCATATACACTCCATTCTTTAGGTCTCTTGTCTTTCGCATCCAGTCCTCACCAGCTATTTCGATCAGGTCATTGGTCTACCTTGTTGGTTGTTTTTTTTTAATTCCTTAGTTGGAGGGATGAGCTCAGGGCCCAGCTGGCGTTAAGTGGTTACTGGAGCCCATAGACACCTACAACGTAAATGCCGCCACCCACCTTGAGATATAAATTCTAAGGCCTCAGTATAGTTACAGCAACTGCCCCACCTTTCGAACCGAAACGCATTACTGCTTCTCCAAAAATAGGCAGGGTGATTGTACCTACCCGTGCGGACTCACAAGAGGTCCTATCACCAGTAATTAGGCGAATTATAATTTTGCGGGTTTGGTTTGTCTTCCCACATTGTCAGTATGATGGCTTATGTCATCATTTCATTTCATGTTTCATATTATGTTAGGGAGATGTTAAAGAAATTTGGGTCTTAAAAACGTTATGTAAAGCACAAATTCCTTTTTCAGAGGCTTGCCGAATACCACACCACAGGTAGCTGCAGTATCGAAACGAAATCAAATGTTCTAGTCCTAATCATTGAAAGGTTGTGTTCATATCATTACCTCTAAGTGTTTTATTGTAATTTCAATATTTTTTAAATTGATAATAGTACATTGTGCACCAAGGGAGAAAAGTTGGACATTTCCTCCCGCGTGTTTGCCATTTTACACGGCATGAGATGTCCTACTTTTTTCCCGCGGTGCACATACTATTTTTTCTCCTACCAGGCCGAAAGTTCGGCATTGTAAAAAACTTAGCACCCGTGGAGTACCGGGGTCCAGGGGCGAAGCCCTGGCCGGGGCTAGGATACAGTACTGAAAAAAAAAAAATTGTAACTGTTTTTTAAATTTTTAAATAAACTACTACTAATTGAATAAGTACTGTCTGATGAACTCATCTTTGTTTAATGCTTCACTATTAAATTTTATTGCCTTTTGTTTATTTCACTTTTACACTAAACACAATATTGCAAATTACCCGAGCACAACAATGGCGGAGGATTTTAAGTGCGTGAGAGCAGACGTAGACACTAACGCGCATGCGCACTTGTACCCAGGGAGGAAAAGACTTTCTTACCTGTACAGCGGGAGGAAAACCAAACTTTCGGCGTAGGTAGGAGCAAATTTATTACAATAGCGCTAATTAATTCGTAATACCATATTTATTATTGCAATTTAAATAGTTAAAACCTACAAGAACACACACACACACAGGAATTAATTGATGAAAATTTTCAAGATATGAAAGTTTGGTTGTAATTTTAATTATTATATAAGACCTAAGTATCGTATATTATAAGGATTCGTTTAAGTTGATTAGCGGGCGCGGTGGCGGTGACAAAAACACTGCTTCTAGCGAGTTTTGAACTCATGTCCCGCCAGTATGATTAGTGTGAGTTTTTTAACTTCTTGATCGGGTAAAAGTTAACTCAAATTTCTATAGAGTTGAAACAGCTTGCCTTCGTTTACCGTTAGTGACACTGTTCCAACTCCATACAGATTTGAGTTTATTTATTTATTTATACTTTATGCACAAAACAAAAGTTGTACACAGGCGGACTTAATGCCACGGGCATTCTCTTCCAGTCGACCATAGGGTGGTGCAGAGATAATGCATGATAGGTATTAACAAAAGAATAACAAACAACAACAAAAAACAATAAAAGAACAAAATCAAAACAAAAATCTTCTTTAATGTAACATCTCAGTATTATAGAATACACATAATGTTAAATAAAGGTACTTATATAGATTACATATGACTTTGTATGCATAAATTAACATACTACAACTACTACCTATGTATAAAATAATAAAATACATACATACACATAATTATACACAATATAATATACATACATGTAAAGCAATAATTAAATACATATTTTACTTTTACGCGATCGAGAAGTAAAAAAAACTCGAACTAAGCACACAGGTCTTTGTCTGATGCTAGCCTGCAGTAGGGATAAGCTCAAATTAATTCAACTCAAGTTAATTAATAAGCTGCTGCTGCAAAATTAGCAATCAACTTTAGATGTTTGACGCTTCCCGCTACATTATCAATATTCGATCACACCTGCGTTTTGTTACTGGTGGTAGGACCTCTTGAAAGTCCGCACGGGTAGTTACCACCACCCTGCCTATTTCTGCCGTGAAGCAGCAATGCGTTGTAACTATACTCAGACCTTACATATCAAGGTGGGTGGCGCATTTACGTTGTAGATGTATATGGGCTCCAGTGACCACTTAACACCAGGTGGGCTGTGAGCTCGTCCACCCACCTAGCAATAAAAGTTTTTTTTTAACTTTTATATTACAATTTAAGATAATAATAAATAAATTATAAATTAAATTTGGTAAAAGCAAAATAACGCTCTCGCCACCGCGGCCGCTCATCAATGTGAACAAGCACTAAAATATTACTAAGTATTGTATTAAAAAAAAATCTTAAAACTATCTTTTTGTAATTTTTTTGTAATAAAAAATATCTTATTGTTCTTCTAAAGACTGATTAAACGTATTTTAGTTTTGTATTGTTTACGTATATTTAAAATGAAAATTGTAAGTTCTCGTTTATACATAGATTAGAAATGAAATTTCGGGATTACGTCTAAATAAAATAAAGGAAAATTTATGAAACGTTCGTTTTAATCGTCGGAAATATGTGCCGTATTGAGAAACATCTATAGCCGCACGTAAAACCGATTTCTGGCGAGGCGACGCATGCCGTGGCGACGCGTCGCCACGCTATATGATGGTATGTATATACAGTCTATATGCAGCAGTATGTACGGTGTGGCGACGCGTCGCCATGCGCAATCGACTGTGCGATTCTCTCCCGCTCGATCCGGCGTTAAGCCATCTCTCTCTCGCTACACTGAGCTCGGATACCTATAGTGTATACTCTGTAGTGTATACAGTGTTGTTTACTACAGTACACATTACCTGTGTTTTACTTGAAAACAAATTATTTATTCGTAATATTTTATTTTATCATTATGACATATTTAGTTCCTATCACAATCTGTTCTTTTCTGCATATTACTTTTACAAAATAATGTCGATGTTTCACATCTGCCAGGCGTCCCGTGACGGCTCACATTTTATTTATTTATTTTTGTACTAAATTGCTGGATGAGTTCTCGGTTCACTAGACATTAGTCCATAGACATCAACATCATGACACACGAGACATAAACTTAAAGTCTGCTGAAATCAGCAGGCTATATGAAGACTCAATTCTGTACCATCGGTCTACGATTTTAATATCGAGTTTTTTTATTTATTGCTTAGATGGGTGGACGAGCTCGCAGCCCACCTGATGTTATGTGGTTACTAGAGCCCATAAATATCTACGACGTAAATGCGCCAACCATCTTGAGATATAAGTTCTAAGGTCTCAAGTATAGTTACAGCGGCTGCCCCACCCTTCAGACCGAAACGCATTACTGCTTCATGGCAGAAATAGGCAGTTTGTATCGTGTTATCTGTACCATAGACCAAATTAGATCGCATCGTCCCTTCCAAAATTTCTTTCATAATTTCTTTATGTTCGCGATTTTCTGGACTGAAATTTATTTAGGTTATAACAACAGGCCGTAATTTTTTTTAACTTTGCCAATACATTTCCCATATCGAAGCTAAAGGATTTGTTTCCTCTGGTATGGTGTTTTGACCTTTTGTTTATAGGTCTAGTGATTAGTAACTACTGCACCATGGAACCCGGGTTCGATGACCGGAGTCAATATTTTTCACTGTCAAAATTTATTGGTAAGTTAATATTACAGTTATCAAACGAAGGCTTCAATTTGTAAAAAACGGGTAGTATTTAATCCAAAGACTGTAAATGCTATTTTTTTTATTCAAATATTCGAAACTACCACCAAAAATACTGAATTGCACGCTAAATTTGTTCATCAAATAAATCAAATCTAATATACTGTTTGATATATAAAGCTAAACTGTTTTACTGAAAGACTATTTGTTGACTAAAAGTAAAACTGATAATTATGTGTATGCAACAAAATAATTAAATTAAAAGCTACTTATTGAGAGTGGTGACCGGTAAAATAGAGGGAAAAAGGCCTAGGGGTAGAGGTCCCAAACGATGGTCGGACCAAATAGCGGAGGAACTGGGGATACCTATCAGCGACGCACTCCACCGGGCTGCAGGGCGGGATCGATGGAGACAGTTGGTTGACGAAATCGGACGGAGTCACGATCCTCAGCAGTGAGGAACCGATCGAAGAGAGAGAGAGAGATTGAGAGTACTCGCGCGTCACCTGTCTTTGTCTATTGAAATAAATCTTGCCCGGATTAGCAACATCAAATGCATCAAGTGTAATGACTTAAGTGTAATTTACTGTGGTATGACCTCTTGTGAGTCCGCGCAGGTAGGTACCACTACACCGCCTATTTCTGCCGTGAAGCAGTAATGCGCTTCGGTTTGAAGGGTGGGGCAGCCGTTGTAACTATACTGAGACCTTAAAACTCATATCTCAAGGTGGGTGGGGTGGAGGAATTTGCGTTGTAGATGTATAGACATCCTCCGGTAATCGGTACCGGCTCCGGTAACCACTTACTACCAGGTGGGCTGTGAGCTCCTCAACCGACGTATGCAATAAAAAAAAATCGACCTTTAGCATCGGAAGGGTTTTGCCGATATAACAATATAGCAAATTGGAGCTCCAAATAAATATGAGGACCCGTTACTGATATACATCTACTGATATACTGTCTCATCGTTCTGATTGGAACGCAGACCGTAACCAACCCAGCTACCTACTTCAACTGCTATGTCATGACTTTGTCATGAGAAATACGTTTTGTAGAATTAAGATTTCGACTTAATTAAAAGTCGTCGTGGCCTAAAGGATAAGACGTCCGGTGCATTCGTGTTGAATCGATGCAACGGTGTTCGAATCCCGCATGCGGGTACCAATTTTTCTAATGAAATGCGTACTTAACAAATGTTCACGATTGACTTCCTTTGATTGACCTTAGAACTTCTATCTCAAGGTGGGTGGCGCGTTTAAGTTGTAGATGTTTATGGGCTCCAGTAACCACTTAGCACCAGTTGGGCTGTGAGATCGTACACCTATTTATGCAATAAAAAAACACGTGTGACTGCCGCGGTAAAGCTTTTTTATCAACTTATGCAATTATAAATCGACAATAATAATTTAATATTAAAACAACAATAAAATAACACCACGCTATATTTATAAACATTAACAAAAGCAAAACATTAACTGTCCCCTTCACACTCATAACCTAGACCGCACGATGGAGAGATGGGCAGACTTTTCATGATGTGCATGCGGCAGTGCGACGTCACGCCGCGCGCTTATTCACAAACACTACACAAGCGCAACGTGTGAATGTGTTGAACAGCTCGCGTTAGTAGGCGTAGTGGGGATGTCAGGTTATTTTCGTTACGGAATTTCTTGATTCAGTCGCCACGCTCAAGGCCCACGATAGAAGCTTTGCAATAGCTTAAAAATAAAAATAAAATCTATAAGTGGGTGGCGGCATTCACTTAACAACAGGCGGGCGGTGATTTCGTCTGCTAACGCTACAACAACAAAAGAAGCTGCGAATAGATCACAATCCAA